AGGTGACCATTTAGCATGATGTTGGTTTCCGCCGACTGCGGCGACTGGTGCAATGTGTGGACCCAGTGACGAAAGGTAGGGCCAAAGCTCATCTTGTCTTAGACGTTGGTCCACAACATGCTCGTCGACATGGTTGCATGCTTTTTCAAAATCAATGAATAAGATTGCCACCTCCACTCGTCTTTGTCGGGCGTATTTGATCATGTCTTTAACCAGAAGGGCATTGTCTTGTTACCCCATATATTGCAATGGGGCACAAATCATGTTCGATCCTTATGAATAAGGTCGCATATATGAGGAAGGAGTCTGTTACATAGCGCATTGGCCACCATCTTGTAGGGGGAAAGGCAGCAGTGTGATTGGGCAGTTATTTCATATCTCTACAGGGTCCTCCTTCTTGTAGAGCAGGGTGGTGATTCCTTGCCCCATCAGATCACCAAACCGGCCTTCCTGCTGCGCGGCGTGGATGTATGTCATAGGGTCCGGGTTGAGGATCTCACAAACTGCAGCCAGAATTCTTTTGGAAAGCTTTCAAGTCCCAAGGTTTTCTCATCCTCCATGGCTTTAAACCATCACTACCTCTGTCACTCTTGGGAAAATCTTTTCTGAATTTTTCGGGGGTTGGATGAGGCTCGGCAGTTGGGCCTTGTGGGCCCCTTCAAAAAATAAAAAGAAAAAACAAAAGATCATGTTGGGGAAGCTGTGCACCAAGTTGTGCTCACACCAAAACTCAGACGTTCGTACCTAACCGCTGCAGTGGCCAGTATCAGGTTTTCATTGTTTGTGTTTCTTGTTGTCTTTCTTTTTTAAGTTTTGGTGCCCTGCCAGGGAGGCACGGCGAGGTCCATGGGCTGCTGACACTATGTGGAGGAGGGCATGCCCACACAATTACTTCGCAGAATGTATGAACCCGCTTTCCCAGCCTAAGTTCAGTTTCAATTTTTCTTGTCCTTTTCCTTCTTCCGTGGACCTGGCACCCTTGCCGTAACGCCCTCGCTGAGCGCATACTCACACAACGACTTTGGGCTAGGTATCTACCTCGTATCACGTCCAGAGGGATGTTTGTTTTTTTTCTTTTATTTTCGTGGCTGCGAGCGGGTCATTTTTCGAAAGTCTGGCCGTGCTTTTCTTTTTTTTTTCAGGAGAGTACCAGAAAAGAAACAAAAATGGAACCCAGGCTCGGCAAAACTCGGTGCGCAGTGAAAATCAGGGTCGGCAAAAACAGGCTCAGAGGTTGTGGTGGTTTCAGTGCATCGTAGATCTTGATTCCTTTGGGAATCTATTTACTCCTAGGGGTTTCTCATCCTCCATGGCTTTAAGCGCATCGTAGATCCCGTGCGGGGTCAGAGGTGCTTCGAGGGATTCCATCTGCTGTTGAGATAGGAAGGGTGAGAGGTTTTGCAGCATGATAGCTCTAGTTTGTGTCAGTACCTTCCCCCACCATTGGGCGCTTTCTGAGGTGAAGAGTCTCTACCTTCTTAACCCGAAAAAAACGTACGTACCTTGTATACGAATACAACGTACGGGGTACGTTGTATTCGAATACAACGTACGTACATTATAAAACGAGTTTTAGGGTACAACTTTTCAGAAGCCTGTAGTACTGCCATTGTTTTTATTTTTATCTCAAATTTGGTTGGGAATTTCCCCAAGACCCTCAGGCAAAAGTTGTTTGCAGTGCAATGTTGTACAACATACTTTTTTTTCGGATTTTTTACTGAAGTTGTTTTTTAATCAAAATTATGAAAAAATCAGTCAAAAACATTTTCATCCTCGTTTTTTTTTTTCTCGAATTTTCTCGTGAATTTCGGTAAGACCCTCAGGCAAACGTTGTTTGTATTGCATTGGTGTATAACATTTTATTTTCTCGGATTTTTTTTATTATTTTTGAAAAATCAAAGTTCCAAAAATTCGAATACAACATACGTACGTTGTATTCGAATACAACGTACGTGTGTTATATTCGAACGTACGTTCTATTCGGGGGAAAACAAGTGATTTCTGAAAACCTGATTTCCAGAGGTAATTCGAATATAACGTACGTACGTTTTTTTCGGGTTAAGAAGGTAGTAATATGGGCCGCATAATCCACAGTTGCATAGGCGTTTGTAGCATCCAGTTGGTGTGGGTCAAATGGGGGAAACAAGCTTTGTCTCACTCCGGTCTTCGATCTCTATGACACCACCAGTACTTGGCCCATACATCGGCCGCAGGGCCCTCCCCGCGACTCTCAGAGGCCAGCGGTGCACTCTGGGTCGTTGATGCGATTTGTCATCGGCCCAGAGGCTGCGAAAGTTGCGGGGCGTTAACGACAACGGCCCGCCGCCGATGTATGGGCCAAGTACTGGTGGTTCAAAGAAGGTTCTGACCACCATCGCTTCTATGTCCGTTTTTAGTTCTCGCTTGGATTCTCCATGTTTCTGCTTGGCAGTCCACGTAGGCTTCGAGGTGGTCCCTTGCATCGTCTTGAAGTTGAGAAAATGTTTGCAGATCAAGCGGGTGGTCCGCTAGCCGCTGGTCCCAGTGTTCGAGGGTATATAGTAGGTTGTCTAAGGTGACTTTGCGCTCTCTTGCATGATTGATTGAATTTTTTTTTACTCTTTCCCGAAGATTGGCTACCCCCGCATTGAACCAATCTACTAGGGATAAGTCGTCGGCCTTTTGGGCCAACCAGTAGGTCCACTATACCTCAACCAAGCGGCATAGAGATTGCATTTTCCGCAAGGATGTGTGTGCTGTCATCTTCGCCACTCCACAAAAATAAACATAAACGTGCCACACTGGTTTGGTGGACTTTCACCAACTTATCTGTGCATGGCGCGAGTGGGGTGTAGGAGAGAGAGAGAGGGAGAGAGGGGTGGAAGGGGGTCCCGAATGCAGGGGAAGCGGAGGTGGTTTGTGTCACACGAGTATATTACCACGTCTGCTACTGTTTTGCCTTGCTGGGCGTCAGCATGTTGGTGTTGCTGTCAATGTTGTGTGTGTATGTGCGGGTGCTCGTGTGTGCATGTGCCTTATCACTCCTCAAGCCAGGCAAGCCTACCTTCTTCCCCCAAATCACAATGTGCAGTCATTATAGCTGTATTCGGCGTATCTTTCAATCCAAATATAGCTATAAATTATCGTACGTTGTATTCGGAGGAAGAAGGTAGGGATAACGAAATGCACCAGAACCCAAAAAAAAAAAAAAAGAAGTTAAAAAACATATTCCACAACAGAGTTGTGGATTATGATCTTCCTGGTGCAGAAAAAAACAGGAAGTGTGAAATAAGACAAGGAGCATTTGACAAAACGGTAATGAAAAGGTTGGGAAAAAAAAAGAACTCCTTCACCAACGTCTCACCAACTCATCAGGAAGCTGAATTCCGAAGTTCCCGAACCAAAAAAGAGAAAAGAGGCTGAACCCTCAACAGTCTTCAGAGTTCCCCATGCATACAAGTCATAATCTGTTTTGCAAGTGAACAAGCTGTCGAATCAGTGCAACCGGGTTGGCAGAAGCCCGGGTCACTGGGCTGTACGGCAACCAGCAAGGCAGCAAGGCAGGAAAGCAAGGCGGCAAGACAGGAAAGCAAGGCGGCAAGACGGCAAGACGGGAAGATGGCAAGACGGCAAGACGGCAAGACGGCACAGCAAGAAGCAAGCAGCAAGGAAGCAAGGCAGCACAGCAAGCAGTAGCAGGGTGTGCCCACGTCGTGCAGGTGGGAAGGGTCAAGGGTGCTTGGCAGGCACCAGCCAAGGTGAGCAGCAAGGCAACACTGCAAGCAGAAGCACGCCACACAGATGTGCAGAAGGCAGGCACACAGGCAGAAGTACACAGGGATGGGCAGTCAGTTGAATGACAGAGCGGTGTCGCAACTTGGCGAGCAGCAACAAGACATGGAGGCGAGCCGAAGCAACGTGGTAGGCGAGAAGGCGAGAAGGCAAGAAGGCAACAACATGGCCAGCGCCGGCAGAGCAGACGGTAGGAGGGAAGGCAGCATAGCAAGAAGCAAGGGAGCACCATAGCCCAGTTGGTACACCCCATGAACTGTTGAAATACAGACCCAAGTTCAAATCCCGATGACGAAACGACATGAAGCGAAATCAAATATTTGAATTACATTTCTGATGAATTACACGAGGCCGGTCAGTTCAATGACGATATCTCAAGGCCGGCACCCTTTTCCTTAAAAAAAATAAAAGAGAAGCAAGGGAACAATGCAAGGCGGCAGCACATGCAAAAAAGGGCATCACGGCAAAAACACAAAAACAGCAATCACGAATACCGCAAGGAGCTGGGCGAACTATCGACTACTCACACCACGTGGAGACCTCTGCAGACTTTTGGGTTCACTCCACCTCCAAACTAAGGCACCACACTTTAAACCCTTTTAAGCCCCCCATTTATGCACCTAATGCAAACATCCTGTACCATTGGTTCGGCAACAAAAAAAAAAAAAAAAAAAAAAAAAAAAAAAAGAATTAATACAAAAAAAAAATGGTTGGGGGGGAAAAAAAAAAAAAAAAAAAAAAAAAAAAAAAAAAAAAAAAACACTATTGGTTTGCAACTCTAGACTGCGGTCAGTACACTTTGCCCAAACCTCACCTGACCACAGGCAAGCTCAAAAAAAAGAAAAAAGAGAAAAAAACACACTTCCCAGACCTGATTTCACTACAGGCACACCCTTCCCCCACCAAATTAAGAGGGGAGCCAAAAGACGGTTCCACTTCCCAAACCTCAACTCACCACAGGCAAGCTCAAAAAAGCAAACACTTCCCAAACCTGAACTCACTACAGGCACAGCCCTCCCCCACCAAATTAAGGTTTTGGGGGGGGGAAGGAAGAAAATAAAGTTCCACTTTCCAAACCTCAACTCCCTACAAGCAGGCTCATCCAAACTCCGTCTATGTACACCAAATATAACTCCTCCTCGCACTTGGATTTCCCTGGATGAATCTGCCCCAACTGCACGCGCACACTACTCAGACAGGCAAGATATTATTTTCTCCTCTTCGCAGCCGAACCTTCGGCTTCGCGGTTCTGTTCATCATCCCACCCGTCGACCAAAAATGTCTGCGAAGTTTGAACCCTTGTCTACCTGTCAGCCACATGCATCAAACTGTGTGACTCTGAAAGTTTCTGTATGTACTCCTCTGCCCTCCACCATCAGAGGAACTCCCATACAGAGAATCATCGGCTTCCAGTTCAATCTTCAAACATGATCCTTTCGGAAGAACCATATACATCTTTCAACGATTCCCTGAGTCTACTCCGATGAGTGTACGACGCTGCTTCTTTCTCACTCTCCGCCTCCTTTTTCTGTCACACATCCCTCTCTGATAGCACATGCGTCAAGCGGTACTGTCGGGCGCTCTGCTGCCATCCATCATCATGAACTTACCCCGGAAAAATCACCGGTTTCCAGTTCAGACGTAGCGATTTTCCAATGAGCCAAGTGCATCTCCTTTCTCCTTGGAATGCTCAATTTCCGTCCATGTGCAGTTTTCAGACGTGCTATTTTCCGATGACCCATATGCATCTTCTTCTTTCTGGGAATGCTTAACACCGCCAGTGCACGGGCCCAGCCTTGCTGAAAAAGAAACTCGTAGCCTACGAAAAAATTCCGGAGGCTCGGCCTACCGGACCAAGATGGCTGACGGCGCCATCCAAAGAAGAAAAAGAAAAAAGTGCGCCGCTGGCGGTTCAGAAAACCATGGCACGCAGCAAGGGGCCTGCAGGCCTGGGTGTACTGGAGGTCTAACTTCAGTCCATGCGCTGCTCCCTTCTCGCTGCCTACTTTTTTTCCTCACACATGTCCCTCTCTCTCCGGCAGCGAGTGCAGTCAAGCTCTCTATCGCCCTCAATCATATCATACACTTTCCTGAGTGTCGTCAGCTTCCATTTTCAAATGTATGCTCATTTCCAATCAACCAAACACATCTCCTTCTTTCTTGGAATGCTTTGATTTTCCGCATACTCCACCAGTCCAATCTCTCTGCCTCCTTTTTTCTTTTCTTTTTTTTTTTAGGTGCCCTTCTTGCTGCCTCCTGTTTTCGCCGCATGTCTCTCTCTGTCAGCAAACACAGTCAAGCTCTCCACCCCCCTCCGTCATGAGCTTTCCACGACAATCATTAGTTTCCAGTTCAGATGTGCTCCTTTCCGATGAACCATACGCATCTCCTTCTTCCTCGCAATGCTTGAACTTCCGTCCATACGCCACTCCCTCCTCGCTGCTTCCTTTTCCGGTCGCACGTCTCTCTCCGTCAGCAAACACAGTCAAGCTCTCCACCGTCCTCCAGGATGAGCTTTCTTGAGGATCATCAGTTTCTTGTTCGAATGTGCTCCTTTCCAATGAACCATACGCATCTCCTTCCTCACCATGCTTAACTTCCGTCCATACGCCACTCCCTCCTCACTGCTTCCTTTTCCGGTCGCACGTCTCTCTCTGTCAGCAAACACAGTCAAGCTATCCACCGTCCTCCAGAATGAGCTTTCCTGAGGACCATCATCAGTTCCTTGTTCAGATGTGCTCCTTTCCGATGAACCATACACATCTCCTTCTTCCTCGCAGTGCTTGACTTCCGTCCGTACGCCGCTCCCTCCTTGCTGCTTCCTTTTCCCGTCGCATGTCCCTCTCTGGCAGAGAATCCAGTCGAGCTCTCGTCGCCCTCAGTCATGAGCTTTCCACGACAATCATCAGTTTTCAATTCAGACGTGCTCCTTTCCGGTGAACCATACGCATCTCCTTCTTCCTTGCAGTGCTCAACTTCCACGCATACGGCGCTTGCTTCTTGCTGCCTCCTTTCGTCGTCGCATGTCCCTCTCTGTCAGCAAATGCACCAAACTGACTGTAAAAGCCCTCCGCTGCCCTCCATCATCATGAGCTTTCCCGAGAATTATCGGTTTCCAGTTCAGACGTGCTCCTTTCCGATGAGCCAAATGCTGCCTCCTTTTTCTGTCGCATGTCCTTCCTCTTGCCACGTGCAGCCTCTCTTCGCCTTTCATGCCTTCTGCGTTCTTTGTCGAGTTTACGGGCGGCTTTCAGTTCCTTTTCCTTGCGGTAGTTCAGTCGGTACGAGCACTTGGGGCAGACTCGGAGCTTGACTAGCGCTTGCTTCTCTTCGCCAGCCTCTTTGTAGACAAAGTTTACCTCAAAGCTTCTGAGTCCCTTCGTCTCCTTGCACTTTTTGTTCCCGCATATGAACTGACCTTTGCCCCCCAGCACCTCCTTCTCTGTTCGCCACCGCAGCCCGATCTTGCTTTCTTTATACCTTGACATGTCCGCCAAACAGTACTCCTTGTACAGTTTGTCGTCATAGCGTTTCGCTAACTGCTTATCCCAACTCCCATCCGCATCATCCTCCTCCATGCGCAAGAATCTGTAAAATTCACCTGAGGTGCCTGCGCCTGCCGCGCCATGGTTGTTTGCCAGCTTCCCAAGAGCATCCATCCGCCTGCTGTTCTTTCCAGACCGTTGTTCGTCGCTGTGCAGCACGTCCGGGTGACAGAACAGAACCCACTGCTTCTCATCAGCTCCTCACATAGACCGCCACTGTTGTTAAGCACATAGCAGCAGACTTATTGCCTATGCGCGATGACGCAAAACACAAAGATTTGCTACTCTCTCTCTCTCTCTCTCTCTCTCTCTCTCTCTCTCTCT